ACAAAGGAGCGGGGGGCGGGCGGGCCGGGGCGGCCCGCCGCCTCCCGGGGCCTCTCGCGGCCGCGGGCGGCGCGCCAGGCGCCTTTTCCCGAAAGGGGGGCGAGGGCCGCACCACCCCCTCTTTCTGCGGGCGGCGGGCGCGAGGGGCGCGCGCGCGAGCCTTTGTTCGGGCCTTACCGGACTTCTCCAGCCAGTTTCAGGGCGGCAGATTTTTAATCCGTCATTGGGGTGCGAAAGTGCAGGGCGGCGGCGGCGGCGGCGGCGGAGGGAGCCCGGCGCGCGCGCACTCGCTCGCTCGCTCGCCCGCCCAAGGGGGGAGCCAGGAAAAGTTGCTGCGCCGCTCCGCTCCGCTCCCCGGACGCGCGGGCGGGCGGGCTGTCGGCGGCGGCGGCGGAGGAGGGCCCTCCGCGCCACCAGGGCCGCCCCTCCTCCCGCGCCGGGCCGGGAGCCAGGCGCACGTCACAGCGAGGAGTCGGCTGGCGTTAAAGGCGCCCGGCCCGGGGAGGGAGCGGCCCTCGACGCAGCCCAGGCCCGCGGGAGCAGCGCCTCGCCGCCGCCGCCGCGCGCAAGCCAGGCCGCGCTTGGGCAGCAGCTGGCAGGCCGCGGGCCCCCCGGGCAGCCCGGCGCGGGAGGGCGGGAGGGAGGGAGAGGCGCTGCCGTCTGGCGCTGCGGGGGGCCCCGCGCTTCGACCGGCATAAAGGACCGAGCCCCGAGCAGAGCGCCTGCGCCGCGCGCGGGGCCTGCCCTGTGCGGGTCTTGCCCGCCTGAAGGAACGCCAGGGCCGATGCCTCTCCCCTCCCGGCTGTCGCAGGCGGCTCTCGGCACGCCGGCCGCCTGCTCCTACATCGATGCAAACGAAACCGGGACAGGTAACACAACGAGGAGTGCTGGGCCAGCTGGAATGGACGGAGTTACGGTGATTTTCTCTGCAAGAGCCTCAGCCTTTCGGCTGTAAACAAGAGGGCAGAGTCCAAGCGGCCCGGCACCCGTCCCTTCAGCGCCAGGCCTGGCCAGCACCGCACGTGCCATGTCAACTGAAGGCCCTCTTCCCTGGGTACAGAGTATCTGAAATGACAGGCTTCTAGGCACACACCTTCGACAGCTGGATTCTTACCGAAGTAAAACATCACAAAACATTTTTAAGAACTGTGGGAAACACCAGTTTTGAACACTAGGCATGAAACTTTCTGCCCAAAGAGGTTCACTAAGTAGCTTCTCCACTGCTATAGAGGGAAAGAAGCGTTGCATTAAGGCGCAATGCAGACATTCAAAGACCTGTGACCTCCCCTGCGGAAGAGCCGGCTGGGCCATGACTGGGGCCGCAGGCCTTCCCTGCACAGGCTGCCCCTGGAGTGCCTGAAGTGTGTGTCTCAGCTGCACATGTAGCTTCAAATCCATGGGTTCCCGTATATGCTGCAACACGTAGAAAATGGTGGCTGAATCTGGTTTTGATTAAAAAAATTTTTTTATAAAAGTTCTGTTGTGCTTAATTTTGTATTGCTGTATGTTGCTGTTGGTGATTTAACTATCTGCATTTTTTTCTTTTGCAATGTTGCAACATGCTCACAGAGCCTCACTCGGGACCGATATAGCAATTAACAAGCAAGCCATCCTTCTCCCCCAAAGGACGCCTCTACATCCCGCCCAAAAGCCTTGGCATCTTAAGCACTGGAAAGGAAATCAGGGGTTTGTCTCGGAGCAACGCTAAGCCCAGCGCAGAAGCAGCTCGTGTCACTCAGAGCAGAACTGGTTTAATCACCTGCCTTTTTTCCTTTCAAAGAACTGCCACTTCCAGTCATACCTTCACGACAAAAATCCTGCCCCAAATCCGCCCCAGGAGCTTCAAGGCTGCGAGGAGACTACAATCCAGATCTCCCGAGTCCCGGGACTGCACCTTGGCCACTGCGCCACACAGGTACCAATCATTCGGACGCCAAGTTTAACTGGGAGGCAGTGGCCAGGATTCCTTCACTTCAAGACGGTCACTGAGACTTCAGGAGATGGTGACGAGACGTGCTTTTGCACCAATTTTTGGGAGGGTGGAGCATTTTAGCAAAGGGATATTCCTATTTCTATAATATAGCTCACTCCTTGTTTGACACAACTAATCAGATCTCCAAAGAGCCACTGAAAAGAGCCTTTTCAAAGAATATCGGGTTTTTCACTGGCCTTCTACTTTCTGACAAGTAAAAAGACCAAGTCTCAAGACATAAAGAGCCTATAGTTTTAGTCCTTGAAGTTACCCCAACATATTGGAGCCCTGTACCATATATTCTGGACCTTCTTCAGGGCTAAAACTATTTTAAAAATCAATCTGCAGAAACGTTTGAAAAGAAGTATTTTCAAAATAAATCCTTATGTGGCATAACTAATCTGATCTTCAAAGAACCACTGTCCTTTTCAGAGACCGTCAAGGTCCTTTCACTCGCCTTCTGATTTCTAAACTTTCAGGAGATGCAATTGTATTGTTCCACGCCACCCTGGAAGCCAAGGCAAACCACGCCGGAGACTAAAGCAGATTCTCAGCCACGACCTTCACATTAACTGGCCAGCCTGGCACACTCCACTCAGCTTCAGTACCTCGACTGCAGTTTTAGAGGCACCACATAGTGCCTGGCCTCCGAAGGTTATGACAAGGACAGCTCTTGCCCCTGGACAGCCCAACTGTATGAAGTCCCACTGAGTTCCAGGTGGCTCACCCCAAGCCAGCGTGTAAAGAAGGGACTTAGAAGCTGCTTTTCAGCCCAGGAGCCACAGAAGCATGCAGGAGTCGCCAGGAATTCTTTAAGGAGCCACAGAAGCATGCAGGAGTCGCCAGGAATTCTCTCTGCAGTTCTACACCACTCACATCTCATGGATAAGGGTGGCCAGTAATTTTCCTTACTCCATAGCGAAGGAGAGGGCAGAGAAGAAGCCGAGCTGATCCTTATCAGTGTATGCTCAGCAAGTCAGCAAGTTTTGCCCTATCAAAAAATATTAAACTTAGTTTCACTGTAAAAACAGGACCAAACAAAGCGACATATGATACGCTTGAGAAAGTAAGGTTTATCAGTCACAGCACTGGTGTTTTGTAAATGTTTTTCGTTTGTCAGTCACCAGCAGCTGAGCTGGGCCTCCTTCGGAGGAGGCCCCGTCACAGACACAGGGAGCCACGCTCGGCTCAGTCCGTCTTCTGCACAAGCAGAACGCCCACCCGCTCCTCTTTGGAAAGTCCATCCACGGCTTGCTTCAGTGACCGCAAATACCAGCAGAGATCCCTCTGCAGAAGCTCACCCAGCTCAGCCCACATGAAAGCGCCACATCTGCTATGCTTGTGCTCACTGGCTGCCGGGAACATGGGGACGGTCGGGCACTGGGGCGCTCCTGTCCCGCTTGTAGGCTTCCTGTGGGCCGTTCGTTTGCCACTTGGCGAACAGAATGATGGGCGGGGTGGTCCCTGCATCCGAGTCAGCCTCGGGACTCGTTCCCGGGCCAGCGACACCGGGAGCTGCAAGCGGCTACCATCTCTGCAAACAGGCAAGAGCCGTGACCTGCCAGGGCACCTGGGACGGAGAGGGAGGGGTTCTCCCCTCACGCACCTGCCCTGCTGCTCATCAAGGCCTGCCGAGCAACTGCCTTGCCCCACCCCGCGAGGGGCGTCCACCTGCCATGCAAAACCGTGGCTCCAGCTACGTGTTCAGAGAGCCCGGGAGCACATGCGCTCAGTAGCTATTCGAGGTGAGCAGAGCCAGCTCGTTGCAGACACTGGTGGCGATTCGGTGCGCCCAGCGCAACTGAATTTACCTGCTAACCCTGCGGATCAACACCAATTCCTTGCGCTCTCAGGGCAGGGGCAGGGGCAGGGCCCCCAACTATTTCTGGATGGCTGGCTCCCCACAGAGTCCCCAGACAGCACAGATACACGTATTATCCTCCCCGTAGATGCAGTGGGACACCACTTCATGTTATTTATGCACCTCTTTTGCCAATGTTGTCGAGGTGGTTTATAAAGAGCAGAATGTCCTCAGGCCACCAGTGGTTCCTGCGGAGCAAATGATAAAGCCCCCCACCCGGATGCTTCTTCTCCCACCCCCTCAAAGGGCACATGGGTCTTTAAGTAGCCCCTGGGAAGATGAGGCAGGGGCTGTCCCAGCTCGAGTGTCAGGGCAAGGGTGGTCTCGGGAGGGGCCAGGAGACAGCCAGGCTTTTGGCAGCCTCAGGACACATGGGGGGCAGCTATTCCCCCCGTCTGCTGATGAGATGGGCCGAACAGAGGACAGTATTTCTGCGTGGGAATAATGCCACACACTGAGTGCTCCTGCAAGCCAAGGGCTCGGACCAGCCTCGCCCACCACCCGTGTGCTCAATCCTTGCCCCTCGGGGCCGCTTACCGCAACTAAAGCAGGGATTTCGACCGGGGTTCAAGAGGCCGCGAGTGCCCTCTTGGAAGAGGGAGCGGTGCCAGCCTCACTACCAAAGGCTGCAATTAAGCCACGCCTGAAAAAGTCTGCCCGGCACCCAGAGGGCGTTAACTACCGTGGGCCAGTGGCCAGCATTCCCTTCCTGGGCAAGGTCCTCGAGGAGGCGGTGGCCGAACAGCTCCAGCCACTCCCAGTTGAAATGGAGCATCCAGATCCTTTCCCATCTGGCTTCAGGCCTGGTTCTGGGATGGGAAAGGCCGTGGCTGCCCTGTGGGATGACTGTGCCAAGAGGGAGACGGGGAGCGCAGCCCCGCTGGCTCTCCTGGGCCTCTCGGCGGCTTCTGAAACCATCGGCCACGCTGTCCTTCTGGAGAGGCTGGCTGGGTTGGGCGGGGAGGCCCTGCGTCGCGGCGGTTCCTCTCCCGCTTGACCGGCCGATTCCAGGTGGTGGTGCTGGGGACGCACCATGCAGCCACGCCGTGGGTACCCCAGGGCTGCATTTTATCCCCCGTGCTATTTGGCATCAGCACGAGGGGTCTGGGGAGGCTGTGCCTCTCGGCTCTGCCTCTTCTCCCTCAAACCCAGCTGAGGCACTGGTTGCTCCACATCGGCGCCTGAGCATGGCAGCGGACTGGCCGAGGGCCAGCGCACCGGGATGCCGTCCGGGCACGGAGGGAGGCGCAGCTGGTGGTGGCTCAGCTGTCCCGCTGGGAGATGCTTGGCCTGTCCTGGACGGGGCTGCACTCCCCCGAGGGACACGGTTCGCGGTTGGGGGCGCTCCTGGACCCGGAAGTGTCACCCGGTGTCACGGGGCACCTTTCGTCCGCTTGAGCTGACATACGAACTATCTGGACAGATGATGCCTAGCTATAGGCATCCATATTCTGGCACTGGATTACTGCACTGTCTGTCTGGTGCACTGTCTGTCTGGAGACATCAACTGATCCAAATCA